AGCAAGCGGGGGCGTACATAACGCGTTTTCATGGTATAGTCAAGGCCTCGCTGATAGTAACGAGGAATACAAACAGCCTTTCTTCGCATTAATCCTTGTACCAACTTCGCTAAGTAAACTCTTAGTCACCATCAAGGAGAAATTTAGCGAGAACATAGGAGATTTTTCTCAGAACTGCCTGGCAAGCGCAGCCAACCAAGCCCTCGCCCACACACACATGTATCTGAAGAGTTGTAGTCTCGCATCCAGCTTATCCTAAGGCAAAAACGAACTCACACCTTTAAGAGTTACAAGAGCACATGTGAGCCTACTCTCTCGTGTATCCTTGCAGTCAATTAGTGCAATCTCAAGGTACAGTCACACGAAACAGTCACTCTGTGCTATCACACGATACAATCAAACAATGTGTTTGTGCTATGCAGTCACTCAGAACAGTCGGTGCAACCACATAGGTACAGTCACACGAGCRCRATAGCATGGCACAARACAYGCAMGAAGAAGACTAAACGTCCCTTTGAYGTTGCCCATGTCCCGATAGACCACTCAAAGCACAAGGACAAATGCACCYAGGTCTCACTCTCAACCGGATCATKSCCAGATTGAGGCGCCCCTCCTTCTCATTTCACATGCAGCATTCAGCATAGATACAGGGTTTTAGGACTGAGGTTACCCCAAAGAAGTCGGAAAACCAAGATCTTATCTGCAATCACTATCTCGATCGAAACACTCATGTTTTGTCTTCCATTTTGACCCAAACAATTCATCAATGTCACCCTAGTGTCATCTCAGTTTCTACCAGCCAGCATATTAAGCCATACCCACACGAGGCATCTTGCTGAAATGATTACTGGCTGACCATTCTCGAATCGGGTCTCCGTCCCATCCAGGTGACTCAAGAGGGGTGATAGAAGGAGAACGGAAGAGGCGAAGGAGCTTCTATACAGACTAATCATAAGACTTATTTGTAATTAAGCAAGAGCACTGTCCTCGTTTTCTCCCCCAATTAAACTGAGTCTCCGTCTCATCATCTCCGTTTTTATCATCTCCATTCCATCCTCCCAAGGGTTTCTCAGTTCTCGGTCCGCTACTCCCACGATCCACACTTTTTGTCGAGTTTACCCATATTCGCCAGAGAAACAAGTGATAACTCACTCAATCCAATGTACCCTGCACATCTATAGTCAGACCACGAGCAACTATCTTTCCAGGAGCCAACGCCTCAGAGATTAGAGCCCCGCTCAGCCGATAGCGTTAGGGAATGACACGTCAATAGAAGGATATTAACTTCGGGAGCAAGCTCAGTAATGGCCAGTTCTTGATTAGCTTTAGTAAACAGTCATCAGACAGCGGTAAGCTCAGCTATAGGCAAAAGCTTGAGTATCAATCTTAGATGCCCAACAGTTTCGCAAAAGGGAGCGAGGGCTGATCGGTCTTCAACCAGAAGTTGTCGCAAGGCACGAGAAAAGTACCAGGGATGCCACCTCTATGCGGTCACTCTACGGCCTCTCATCACCACCTCTTCTAAGAGAGCAACTTCTGCCTAAGCCCTCACGCCTTCACTCTTCTCGCTGCACACATTTGCACGCACCGTCCTTCCGCTTCACGTCCACATCCCGCACAGCCGAGCAGCCAACACAGTGGTCTATTAGTCACTTAACAACTGTGCCAGAAATAGCCCTCGACGGTCATAGCGGCTCATGCATAAAAGTATAAGCCAGTCATGACGAGAGCGAGGCATGAACAACACCCAGAGCGTCAACCTGAGACGCCAACAAAGGCGAGCAGGAGTAGATCAGCTAGGAGAATCTCCCAATCAAGAACCAGTTAGCACAGCAACATGCTTCTTGCACAGCCTGTTCGGAGTGACCTCGTCTATCTTCTCACTCTTCTTCTCAGCACGCGATGTCCCCTCACTAACATAGAAACTGGCGCGACACCACATTTGCTATTCTGTCGAAACGCGCGCGTATTCCTCTCTCTACCTGCCCATTCGAGCATGACGGTCACAATATCCTCTTTCCAATAAACCGCCCCACAAGTTCGTGCCCTCTCTCTCTCTCCCTCGCTTCAGCTCCGGAAAACATCCGTTTGTCGCTCGCGTATGCATGCCCTCGTTTCACTGACTCTTCGCGCACACCAGTCAGGTTGACGTCTGCCTCTTTTGCACTTTCGTTTAGCTCTCACCCTCTCTCTCTCGTTTCTCTGAACCGCCCAACAGTCGACCTCCAGTCCTAGACCTTCACACTCGTCCTGTCCCCCTGCCTCGTTCCTCTTCCGTCCCGCGGCCTCTGGGCGCCAGTTACCGAGAGCTGGCCTCGGGTCCGCGCTCCACTGGCTTCACCGCCCGGTGATGCTTCTCGATCTCGCCTGGTCTATTCCAGGATCTGAGATCTGTCTCTCGGTCCGCATCACTCATCTCGCTTTCCCCTCCTGAGTCCCTGTCCTGGTGGATCTGTTCCAGGTCTGCTGTGTCCATCTAAGTCTCAGTTTCGTGATAGGCCACTGTTATCCGTAGCCTTGCCGTCACTCCGTCCCGCCTACAGCGTCTCTCCGCTCGGTCCCTCGCCTCTGAAATCGCATCCTGCAGCTTCGGGTTAGTCCGCATTTCCCCTTCTCTTGCTCCCTCCACGTTGATCTTCAGTACAAACTCATCTCCACCATCATAGTTGAGTATGACGGTGATCCAGGGTCCTTCCCCGGAAACGGGCTTCCAACGGGCCTGGTGATACTAGTATCCGGGCCTGTACCCATGCAATGCCATAGTCACTCGAAATAGCCAAGAACTTAGTCTCCAGGCACTCGCACAGAGACAGCCCCCTTACAGGCCCCGGAGCTCCGCTCTTTCCCTCGTCTCCGGCTCACAGCGCTAATGCAGCGGAAATACTCTGCGACTAGCGTGCGTACAGCTAAACTCTTGTCTCTTTTATAGGCCGTAACCCCGTGTTCTGAATGAGGGCTTCGAGTACTTTTCAAACTTCAGCACTCAAATTCCTATAACTCCTAAAACAACTCCGCGAAAGAAAAGGAAATACGAGACGCCAACGGTCAAACTCATCCCCGCAGACCAGACACAGTGGTCCCATAATGGGTTACTAGTGGGTGCTCGCCCTTCTTTAAAACCCATAGTCTGGCTTACCACCATYGGGTACCCGTGTCCGATGGTAAGGAGGGGGTTCATGACCTCCTATAGGGGGTGACAAACCTCCTACCGATGAGGCCGCGGGTCGCCCCTCTTTTGGGACCTAACMRCGCGGCGCTCAATCGGCGCTCACTCTCAGACCAAATAAACGGGGCCGGCCAACTAGGACCACAGATCAACATCCGAACCGTTGGCCTCCCCATGATATGACAGAAACTGGGGAAAAGGAAGGCCGCGCCTGAAGACTGGTAAAGTAATAATAACAATAATAATAATGAGAATAATAATATTAATCGYTGAAAAGGAAAGGGTGGCGTCCCATAATTTCTCCGCGCAACACCCTTGCCTGAACARCGACCCASATTCACGCACAAGTCTAGCACTCGATTCTCAACCTTTTTCGTTCCTCTTCTTTCTCTTACTAAWTTTCCTCCTTTTAGTCCTCACTGTATCTGCTTCTTATCCTGGCCACCGGGGTCCGCGCGATTCGGACAAATAGGTCTGGTACGGGCAGTATACGAGGGGTCAGGTAGGACCCAGACCATAAAACCTATTGCAGTCTGAAATCTGAATCGGCAACCMTCCCTACGAAGTGACAAAMYTACTGTTGAGAAACTAAGAATASGAAAATTATAACAATAACAACAATAGACRGGAAATCATAGCATCTCAGTGACTKSSGSCYYMRGGKTTTYCCC